CCCCCCCAAAATAAGGGGGGAGGGGCCGGAGCGGAGCCTCCCCTCCCCCCAACCCCCTCTGAGTTCAGCGGCCCCCAAAACGCGGGGGTGGGGGAGGGGCAGCAGAGAGACCCCCCCCATCCCCCACCGCGGGGGGAGGGGCGGCGGGGGAGGGGCTTTGTAAATTCGTAGAAATTCGGGATTTTTGTATAAAATCGGAGTTTTTCCACCCAAAGCCCCTCCCCCCGCGCTGGGGGAGGGGCGGCCCGTCCGTCCAGGCGACTTTTGGGGCGATTTCTCCGGGAATAAATAAAAAGTGTTCGTGGGGGGAGGGGCGGGGGGACCCCCGGCCCCGCCCCCGCCGCGGTGTCCCCTGGGGGGGGCCAGGACTCATCTGGGGGTCGGCGGCGTCACCTGGGGGGAGGGGGCGTCACCTCAGCACCCCCGTGGGGACACCGCGAGGGGACAGCCCCACGCAGGTGTCCCCACCCCCCGTGTGCACCCACGTGTCCCCCGTGTCCCCAAGGTGTGTCCCCAGCTGTCCCCAAGTGTCCCCCAGATGTCCCCGGTGTGTCCCCAGCCATCCCCAGCCGTGTCCCCAGCTGTCCCCTCTGTCCCCTCTGTCCCCAGCTGTCCCCTCTGTCCCCACCGTGTCCCCGCTGTCCCCAGCTGTGTCCCCTCTGTCTCAGCCGTGTCCCTTCTGTCCCCACCGTGTCCCCTCTGTCCCAGCCGTGTCCCCACCGTGTCCCCAGCTGTCCCCTCTGTCCCCACCGTGTCCCCGCTGTCCCCAGCTGTGTCCCCTCTGTCTCAGCCGTGTCCCTTCTGTCCCCAGCTGTCCCCTCTGTCCCAGCCGTGTCCCCACCGTGTCCCCTCTGTCCCTTCTGTCCCCAGCTGTCCCCACCGTGTCCCCTCTGTCCCCTCTGTCCCCAGCTGTGTCCCCGCTGTCCCAGGTGTATCCCCAGCCGTGTCCCCAGCTGTCCCCTCTGTCCCCAGCCGTGTCCCCTCTGTCCCCAGCTGTCCCCTCTGTCCCAGCCGTGTCCCCAGCTGTCCCCTCTGTCCCCACCGTGTCCCCACCGTGTCCCCGGCGCTCACCAGGGTGAAGCCGTCGTAGATCTGCATCAGCTCCTCGGTCTTGTACTGCTCGAGGACGATGACGCCGGCCAGGCCGCCGCCGCGGCGCCGCGCGCAGCCCTCGCAGTGCACCAGGTACGTGTTGCGCCCGCCCGTCTCGCTCGTCACAAACAGGATGTTGAACACCTCCACCTGCGCATGGTCAGTGATGGCCAGGGGATGGCCAGGGGATGGCCAGGGGATGGCCAGGGGATGGCCAGGGGATGGCCAGGGGATGCTCAGGGGATGGCCAGGGGATGGCTGGACAGCCCACGGCCAGGGGATGGTCAGTAAATGGTCAGTGGATGGTCAGTGAATGGTCAGTGGATGGCCACGGCCAGGGGATGGTCAGTGAATGGTCAGTGGATGGCCACGGCCAGGGGATGGTCAGTGAATGGTCAGTGGATGGCCACGGCCAGGGGATGGTCACGGGATGGCCAGGACAGCCCACGGCCAGGGGATGGCCAGGGGATGGCCAGGGGATGGTCAGGGGAATGGTCAGGGGATGGCCAGGACAGCCCAAAGCCCGGGGATGGTCAATGGATGGTCAGGGGATGGCCAGGGGATGGCCAGGACAGCCCAAAGCCAGGGGATGCTCAGGGGATGGCCAGGGGATGGTCAGGGGATGGTCAGGGGATACTCAGGGGATACGTCAATGGATGGTCAGGGGATGGTCAGGGGATGGCCAGGGGATGGCCAGGACAGCCCACGGCCAGGGGATGGTCAGGGGATGGCCAGGGAATGGTCAGGGGATGGTCAGGGGATGGTCAGGACAGCCCACGGCCAGGACAATGGTCAGGGAATGCTCAGGGGATGGTCAGGGGAATGGTCAGGGAATGGTCAGGGGATGGCCAGGGGAATGGCCAGTGGATGGCCAGGGGAATGGTCAGGGACAGCCCACGGCCAGGGCAATGGTCAGGGAATGGTCAGGGGATGGCCAGGACAGCCCACGGTCAGGGCAATGGTCAGTGGATGGCCAGTGGATGGTCAGGGACAGCCCACGGTCAGGGCAGTGGTGAGTGGCACAGCCAGGGACACCCCGCGGTCACAGTGATGGTCAGTTAATGGCCAGGGACACCCCATGGTCATGGACAACAGTGTGGCAGTGCCACAGCCAAGGACAAAGCCACCCCAGGGCCACACCCCGCAGTGTGGCAGTGCCAGGCCCAGCGGTGTGACAGTGACACGGCCAGCCCCAGTGCTGTGGCAGTGCCATGGCCACGCCCAGTGCTGTGGCTGTGCCAGGCCGTGCCCTGTCCCCACGGTGGCAGTGCCGTGTCCCTCTCCCAGCAGCGGCAGTGCCCTGTCCCTGTCCCCGCGGTGGCAGTGCCCTGTCCCTGTCCCAGCAGTGGCAGTGCCGTGTCCCTGTCCCTGCGGTGGCAGTGCCGTGTCCCTCTCCCAGCAGCGGCAGTGCCCTGTCCGTGTCCCCGCGGTGGCAGTGCCCTGTCCCTGTCCCCATTGCCATGGCAGTGCCCTGTCCCTGTCCCTGCGGTGGCAGTGCCGTGTCCCTCTCCCAGCAGTGGCAGTGCCCTGTCCCTCTCCCAGCGGTGGCAGTGCCCTGTCCCTGTCCCCATTGCCATGGCAGTGCCGTGTCCCTGTCCCAGCAGTGGCAGTGCCGTGTCCCTCTCCCAGCAGTGGCAGTGCCGTGTCCCTGTCCCCATTGCCATGGCAGTGCCCTGTCCCTCTCCCAGCAGTGGCAGTGCCCTGTCCCTGTCCCCATTGCCATGGCAGTGCCCTGTCCCTGTCCCCAGCGCAGTGGCAGTGCCCTGTCCCTGTCCCCGCGGCGGTGGCACTCACGTCACACTCGTTGCAGTAGTAGGCCGGCTCGTCCTTGACGCGGCCCTGGTAGGCGATCTTCTTCCCTGCGCGCACCAGGCTCTCGCGCTGCACCTGGCAGTGCTTGATGGACTGCAGCAGGCAGTACCTGCGGGGACACGGGGACACCGGCTGAGCCACGGGACACCGGGACACGGGCTGAGCCACGGGACACGGGGACACGGGCTGAGCCACCGGACACCGGGACACCGGGCTGAGCCACCGGACACCGGGGACACCTGGGACACCGGGACACCGGGCTGAGCCACCGGGACACCGGGACACGGGCTGAGCCACCGGACACGGGCTGAGCCACTGGACACCGGGACACCGGGGCACCTGGGACACCCAGGGTACCTGGGACACCTGGGACACCCGGGACGCCTGGGGTACCCGGGACACCGGGGACACTGGGGACACCCACCATGGGGACACCATCATCAGGGACAGTGTCACCTGTGGCACTTGAGGCACCTGGGACACCTGAATCACCCACCATGGGGACACCGTGTGCCCAGGGACAGCGTCACCTGTGACACCTGAGCCACCCGGGGCACCTGTGGCACCTGTGACACCTGAGACACCCACCATGGGGACACCATGTGCCCAGGGACAGTGTCACCTGACACCAACACCCGCTGCAGGGACACCATTACCAGGGACATTGTCACCCTCTGTCACCCATCACAAGGGACACTGTCACCAGGGACACTGTCACCCACTGTGGGGACACCGTCACCAGGGACTCACCCACCGTGGGGCACCCAAGTCCCCCTGCCCCGCTGTGTCCCCATCCCATGTCCCTGTCCCCATCCCCACCCTGTCCACGTCACTCCTTCCCCGCGTGTCCCCGCGTGTCCCTGCGTGTCCCTGCGTGTCCCCAGGTGTCCCCGCTCACTTGATCATCTTGTAGAGGTCGGGGTCGCTGATCTTGACGGTCCTGGCCACGTTCCAGGACACGTGGATCATGGGCACGATGGACTTGACGTTCTTCACCTCGTTCCACTCGTAGCGCTCCAGGGCCAGCTGGTACTGGTACGCTGGGGACAGGGACAGGGACAGGGGACGTCACGGCCACCGCGGCCCCGGGACACACGGAGCCCCGCACGCTCCGTGGCCACCACGTGACAGCGCCCACGGTGCGTCCCCGATGTCCCCAGTGTCACCCCAGTGTCCCCGATGTCCCCAGTGTCACCCCAGTGTCTCCAATGTCCCCATTGTCACCCCAGTGTCTCCGATGTCCCCAGTGTCCCCTCACCGGTGAGCAGCCCCACGTTCCAGGCAATGTTGTTCCCCCCAGTGTCCCCAGTGTCCCCGATGTCCCCAATGTCCCCAGTGTCCCCTCACCTGTCAGCGGCCCCACGTTCCAGGCGATGTTGTTGCACCAGCCCGTGGCCTGCACCCAGTGCACGGTGCCGGCGTTGATCCACACCAGGTCGCCGGGGCGCTGCACGAAGCGGTACACCGGGATGTTGGAGCGGTACAGGTCCTCCAGGATGGGCCACCACGAGCCCGTCAGGTAGTCCACGCCGTGCCTGCGCCGGGGGCGTGGTCAGAGACAGCCCCGCCCATGCCTGGCCACGCCCACAGGGCCCCGCCCCCGTTCCCTCCCAGCCCTGAATTCCTCCTCCTCCTCCTCCTGGGTGCTGGGAAAGGAGGGTTGGCCACGCCCACTGCAGTTAGCCACGCCCCCACGTATAACCACGCCCCTGCATTATCAGGACACCCCCACTAATTAACACTGGTATGGTGTGCTGGCTCCTTTATGCAGACCCCGCCCCCTTTCCTATAGCCACACCCCTTTTCTCAGCCCCTCCCACCTTCCCTAAGCTCCATCCCCTTCCCAGCCCCACCCCTTTTTCCTAAACCTTTCCCCTTTCAGCTCAGCCCCTCCCCCTTCATGCAGACCCCACCCCTCTCCCTAAACCCCTCCCTCTTTCCTTAAGCCCCTCCTCTTCCCCAAGCCCCTCCCCCTACCCAGGCCCCTCCCACCTGCCGCAGGAGGCACAGATGCTCTCCCAGTAAAGCTGCCCCAATAACCCCGCCCCTTCATGCAAGCCCCACCCCTTTCACCGTCCACACCCTATTTTATGCTAACAATCCATAGATTATGCAAACCACGCCCTCTTTTATGCAGACCACGCCCACATTTCACAGAAGGCAATGATGCTCTGTCAGCAGTGCTGCCCCAATAACCACACCTCCTTTATGCAAACCCTGCCCCTTTCACTGACCACTCCCTTTATGCAGACCACGCCCCTTCCGTGCAGACCACGCCCCCTCCCCGCAGGCCACGCCCACCTGTCGCAGAAGGCGGAGATGGTCTCCCAGTAGTGCTCGTGCACCGCGAACCACTCGCAGTCGCCGGGGCCGATGTTGATGTTCACCGAGCAGAAGTTGTTGTTCTCCTGGTGGCCTGCGGGGGACGCTGCCACCGTCACTGCCACCGTCACTGCCACCCCGTGTCACCCCGTGTCACCCCGTGTCACCCCCGCTGCCCCCGGGACAGTGGGGTCTGCTGTCCCCAGCGCTGTCCCCAGCGCTGTCAGTTTTTGTCGCCTCCCACGAAAAAAATCCCAAGAAAATTCCTCAAAAAATCGCCAAAAAGATCTCAAAGAAATGGCAGGAATGCTGGAGAAATTCCTAAAAAAAGCACCAAAAAAATTCCCCAGGTGCCACTAGGTGTGCCCAGGTGCCCCCAGGTGTGTTTTGGGTGAGCCCAGGTGTCCCCAGCTGTGTTTTGGATGCCCCAGGTGTCCCCAGCTGTCCCCAGGTGTCCCCAGGTGTGTCCCCAGCTGTCCCCAGGTGTCCCCAGGTGCGCGGCTCACCGGGCGTGTGGCTGCCGGGCACCTTCATGTAGAGCTGCACGGTGTTCATGCCCAGGATGGTGTGGCCCACGTGGCTCAGCATGTTCCCCGTGGAGGTATGTTGTATATACCCCCCCTGTCCCCTCAGTGTCCCCGCTGTCACCTCTTGGCGTCCGACAGGTCGATGTTGGTCCCGAACTTGATGATCTGGTGGGATTTCTGGTCGGGGGGGCTGGGGGGGACACGGGGTCACGGGGGGCGGGGACGGGGTCCCCAAGGGGGACATGTCACCCCCCCCTCCCAGGGCTTGGGGACCCCGCCGGGGACACCCTGGGGACACCCTGAGGACACCCTGGGGACACCAGGACACCCCCCAAGGATACAGGACACCCTCCCACAGTGACACTCTGGGGACCCTTTGGGAACACCAGGACCCCTTGGGGACATTGTGACCCCCCGCAGTGACACCCTGGGGACCCCTTGGGGACATCAGGACCCCCCAAAGGACACCGGGACCCCCTGGGGACATTGGGACCCCCCCCCAGAGGACACCGGGACCCTCTGGGGACACTGGGAGCCTCCCCCAGGCGGGGCAGGGGTGACACGTTGTCCCTGGGATGTCCCCGAGAGGGGACAGGGGGTGGCCCCACCTGGGCGGGGTCTCGGTGGTGCTGTCAGGCTCCTCGGCCTCCTCGTCCTCGCTGTCCTTGTCCTCCTGCGGGGACAGTGCCACCTCAGCCCCCAGGGGCCACCTCAGGACCCTGGGGGACACTTGGGGACACTCCAGAGACATTCCAGGGGCACTTGGGGACATTCTGGGGGCTCCAGGACACACCCCCAGCACACCAAGGGACACCAGGGGACACTTGGGGACACCCTGGGGACTCTTTGGGGCTCCTTGGGGACACCTCAAAGTCACAGGGGACAACAGGGGACACCCTGGGGACACCTCAGAGTCACAGGGGACATCTGGGGACACTCAAGGACACGAGTCCCCTGCACCCCCCATGTCCCCCTGAGCCCTCTGTCCCCTGTGCTGTCCCCATCATGTCAACTGTCCCTGTGTCTCCTGTCCCTGTGTCACCTCCCCTGTGTCCCCATCCCTATGTCACCTCCCTGTCACCTGCAGGGACTCCTGGAAGGAGCACACCTGTACTGGGTGTACTGGGACATGCTGGTGTGGGAACAGCTGATGTCACAGGGCCACATCTGGTGTGTCCCCTGTCCCTGGGGTGTGTCCCCTGTGTGTCCCCGTGTCCCCAACATGTCCCCATGTCCCCTGTGTGTCCCCATGTCCCCTCCCTGTCACCTGCAGGGACTCCTGGAAGGAGCACACCTGTACTGGGTGTACTGGGACATGCTGGTGTGGGGTCCCTGCTGTGTCCCCTGTCCCTGTCCCTGAGCTGTGTCCCCATGTACTGTAGGTGTCCCCGTGTCCCCAGCGTGTCCCTGTCCCTCACCTGCAGGGACTCCTGGAAGGAGCACACCTGGTACTGGGTGTACTTGGCGATGGTGGTGTGGTGTCCCTGCTGTGTCCCTTGTCCCCAGACTGTGTCCCCTGTCCCTGGGGTGTGTCCCCTGTCCCTGGGCTGTGTGCCCATGTCCCCAGCGTGCCCCTGTCCCTCATCTGCAGGGACTCCTGGAAGGAGCACACCTGGTACTGGGCGTACTTGGCGATGGTGGTGTGGCATCCCTGCTGTGTCCCTTGTCCCCAGGGTGTGTCCCCTGTCCCTGGGCTGTGTCCCCTGTCCCTGAGCTGTGTCTCCTGTCCCTGAGCTGTGTCCCCATGTCCCCTGTGTGTCCCCATGTCCCCGTCCCTCACCTGCAGGGACTCCTGGAAGGAGGAGGCCTGGTACTGGGCGTACTGGGACATGGTGGTGTGGTGTCCCTGCTGTGTCCCCTGTCCCTGGGCTGTGTGCCCTGTCCCTGGGCTGTGTCCCCATGTCCCCTGTGTGTCCCCATGTCCCCGTCCCTCACCTGCAGGGACTCCTGGAAGGAGGAGGCCTGGTACTGGGCGTACTTGGCGATGGTGGTGTGGGACCGGCTGCTCTCGCAGGGCCACACCTGGCGCGTCCCCGACAGGTCCCAGTTCTGGTCCGAGGGCTGCTGCACCTGCGTGCGCACCTCGACCGCGTGCTCGCCGCTGGCCTCCACCAGGGTCTTGGTGCTGAACAGCCCCAGGTCTGAGAAACACGGGCTTTGGGTCATTTTGGGGGGGTTCGGGGGGTGTCAGGGGGAGGGGAGGGGTCACAGGGGGACAGGGACAGAGAATCTCCACCAGGGTCTTGGTGCTGAACAGCCCCAGGTCTGAGAAACACGGGCTTTGGGTCATTTTGGGGGGGTTCAGGGGGTGTCATGGGGATGGGAGGGGTCACAGGGGGACAGGGACAGGGACAGGGGACACAGAGGGGGGACAGGGACAGGGAATCTCCACCAGGGTCTTGGTGCTGAACAGCCCCAGGTCTGGGAACACAGGGTTTGGGTCATTTTGGGGGTTTGGGTCATTTTGGGGGTGTCTGGGGGACTGTCACGGGGTCACAAGGGGACAGGGGTGGGATGGGGACAAGGACAGGGGGTTTTGGGGTTTTTTGGGGTGTTTTTGGTGCTCACTGAGGCGCAGGGACCGCGCCAGGCCCCGGATGACGGTGATGGGGGATCCAGGGCAGGTTTGGGGTATTTTGGGGTGTTTTTGGGGTGTTTTTGGTGCTCACTGAGGCGCAGGGACCCCGCCAGGCCCCGGATGACGGTGATGGGGTTCTTGGGGTCGGTGCAGAACTGCAGCAGCACGGGCGAGAAGGCGTCGCGTTTGCTCTCCAGCTGGGAACAGCGGCAGCCAATCAGAGACCGGCACCCGACACAGGGACCAATCACAGCCCGCCACCCTTGGGCAGGGACCAATCAGCACCAGGCACCCGGAGAAAGGACCAATCGCAGCACAGCACCCTCACACAGGGCCCAATTGCAGCATGCCACGCCCAACAACAACCAGCAGCCAATCAGGATGGAGCTGGTTTACAGCATCAGCCAATCAGAAAAGATATGGTTTACAGCATCAGCCAATCAGGATGGAGATGGTTTAGGGCACCAGCCAATCAGGATGGAGAGGGCCTGATTCACCATTCTCCAGCCAATGAGGATTCAGGTAGCCCAACTGACCAGCCAATCAGGACTGAGATGGTTTGGCCCATCAGCCAATCAGGACTGAAAAGCCATGATCGGGCAGCCAATCAGCAGCAGGATTCACTGGGAAACTCTTTCCCCAACCATTGGCCAATCAGCAGTAGGGAGGCCCCACCCAGCAGCCAATCAGGAGACTCTCCTGTTCCATCAGCCAATCAGGGATGCTCTGGCAGCTCTGTCCCCTTCTGGCAGCCAATCAACAAAAAGCTGCCCATGATGGACCAATCAGGAGGGGTGGGATCCAGCCAGGGACCAATCAGCAGAGAGTGAATCTGCCAGGGAGCCAATCAGCAGCAAGGATGCCCACCAGCCAATCGGGAGAGGGGATCCCCAGGAGGGAGCCAATCAGCAATCAAGAAACCCAGCCAGGCAGCCAATCAGCAACCAGGGGACCCATTGAGAGAGCCAATCAGCAGTCAGGGGACCCATCCAGGGAACCAATCATCAGCCAAGGGATCCATGGAGGGAGCCAATCAGCAATCAAGAAACGCAGCCAGGGAGCCAATCAGCATCCAGGGGACCCATCCAGGCAGCCAATCAGGAGCCCCCCACTCACTTGCTGGCCCGCACCACCTCGGCGGCGCTGTGCCGGATCGTCAGCTGAGCCAGGGGCAGCCCCCGGGGCTCGGCCACCTCCGAGGCCGCCAAAGCGTCACCGGCGGGCGTCCCCCCGAGCCCGGGGATCCCCCCGGGCCCCCCGGCTCCGCTCTCCACCTTGATCAGGCGGATCTTGAGCTCCTTGGGGGGCCCCTCGCCCAGCGAGCGCAGCTTCAGCAGGTCGGCCGAGCTGACGAAGGCGGGCGGGGGTCCCGCGGGGGCAGCGGGGGCTGGGGGGTTGTTGTTGGGGGGAGCCCCCCCTTTCGTTTCCAGCCTGGGCGGGGGTCCCCCTTTCTCCTGCACGCCGGGGCTCTGCAGGTCCAGCGTGGCCAGCACGGGGCGGTCGCGCTGTTGCTGCTCGCGCTGTTGTTGCTGTTGCTGTTGTTGTTGTTGTTCCCGCTCCTCTTTCCGGGGGTGCCGGCGCCGGGGGGGTCCCCGGCGGAGATCCCGGTGACGTGAGGGGGGTCGGCGGTGCCGGCGGCCTCCCCCCAAGCCTAATTTGGGGGGGGTGTCCGGGGAGGGGGGGCTGGGGCGGCCGGCTTGCTCGGCCAGGGTCTCGCAGGCCCGGCTGATCTCCTCCAGCGCCTCCGACTCGCTGCGGCCCGGGGGGGGCACGGCCAGCGCCG